GGTGCTTTGTATTAGCTTGGTATTTAAATCTTTCTTGTGGTGGTGATGGAGTACAGGTTAATAATAAGGAGGAAGCTCCAGTTCCACCTCCAGTAGCTGGCACAGCTTGAAAGATTTGGGGTACCACTGCTGGGAGTTCCCAAGGTTGACTGTACAACACTGGTGCTGTGGAGGGATGCATCAGCTCCACAGGTTAACTGAAGCAAGCTAAGTGATGAGTGTAATTTCTCTTTTGCATGGCTGACTGAAATGCTTTTTAGGGCTGAAGATATCTGTGACCTACTTCTGCTTGGAAAGGATTTACATACGGAAAGGTCACTTAATTTGAGCACAATTACTGTATGCTAGAGCACCCACTGCAAGCTGCTTTTCTGGGGTCTTGAAAAACTATTCAAGCACCTACTGCTTTTAAGGACAAGTGAAGGATCCAGAATCTTTCAGCCACGGGTACTCTTCTGGAGAACAAAGGCAGGTTGTTGTTTTTTTTTTGTTTGTGTTTTCTGGACAATGACCTATGTGTCTTGTTTGATGAGTGCTTGCAGGTAATTTATTGTGGTTTAGGCAAGACCTGTATATGCTGCAGTGTCCTACAACCATGGCAGCTTAGGACCAGGAGATGTGGTAACAGCAGGCATTCAGTGAATGCATTACACAATCACGAAGGTAGTAACTGTCATTGTGTTGTCCTTGGACTTCTTCAGTAATAAAATAGGAATCAAAGAGCTTTTTTCTTCATTCCCATGAATGAAGAGAGGGTTTGAGGTTTCTTTCTACTGGCTAAATGGTTTCTGCAGATAGAGCATTCTAAAATGGTCAGTGATAAAATGCAGTTGGAAATTCTTCGTATGCCCTGGCAGTGGCTTGGAGCCAGTCAATGAAGCTGAGCAGAATTGAACTGCTGTTCAGAACAGTTACTTAACAGCCTGTTCTCCCTGCCTCCCACACCCTCTCGGTGGTAATGCTTGCCAATGTGAGAATTGTCAACTAACTAGCTCATAATCAGACTGGCAGAGTAACCTAGGTGAAGCAGCTCAGCCATGAGACCCCTGTGACAGGTGGCTCAACCTGAAAGATGCCTTTCTTACCTTCCCCTTCCCCCTTGTTCGTCCCTCACAAGTTGCTTCTTCCTGAGAGCTGGAATCCTTAATGACTAAATTCCTCATCACAGCACCTTCATCTGAGATGGGTATTTGCCCTGATTAATCTGGACTCTTGATTTTAAACACCAGTGGGCTTCTGTTCTGATTCCTCATTTTCTCAAGGGATCTGCAATGCACAGTTATGGTGTACATACCTGGATGTCGTGTCAGCCTGAATGCATTTGTGCAGTGCTAGTGATGTGACACCAGCACAAAATGCTTGGCTGACCAATATATTGCATGAAGTGGAAAGCTGCAAGTTCCTTTGACTGGTAGAGACAAGCTGTTCCATCTTATGTCACATACTTTGATGTGAAAAGTGTGGTTTTCCATATGGACAGACCCCTAGACATGAAGAGTATGGTGTGGGTGTTCGGTACGTTTAAAAAAACCCGGAAACAACCAGCACAATATGAGATGGATAGTTTGATTTTCAGCTGTTAAGATACGGAGCTTACAGATGTCTTTCAGTTATTTGGTACCAAATTTGGCACACTAATAAGACTTATCTCATTTGCTTGTTTGTAAGGGTATTATGCCTGAATCTGCAGTGATGGAACCAGGTCAACCCCACAGGAGCTCTGTTTTGATGCCAGGTGGAACCATGTGCCATTTGTCCTTACTACAGTGACCACTTTGTTACTTCCTTTTGGACTCAGCTAAGGCAAGATACAGATTTTTCAGTAGGTTAGTGTGAAATCAGTAAAGAACATTTCCAAATATCAAGTCTGATGTTTGATGGTTTCCTCCCAAAGCTAAACAAGTTTATGATAATTCCTTCTAAGATAATCTCTAAGCCCAAGTTAAGTTGTGAAATAAATTATGAGGTCAGCATGCTGCTGCTGGTGGAAGGATAATGGACAAGGTTGTCTTATAAATAATGAGTTTAATGAACTTCTTCTAAAATAACTGGCCTGAATATTAATGCTGCCCTCTTATTAATGAGGTAGCAATAAAACACTGTGAGAAGTCTGTTACAAAGGATAAAGTGAATTCACTTATTTCTTGAGGAAGGGGTCTGTTTGTTTTTCCTCCTTCCCTCTCAGCCTGCAACAGTTCTTGCCAGGCTCAAGTGGGAACAGGGAGGATACTCTAGTTTCTGTGTTGGAAGTTTGCCATTCTTAATTTGCCTGAACACTTTCTCAGTTGTAATTATGTAGATATGATGAATGCTCAGTGATAGAATGAGACCACATTACTGTGGTGGGTTCCTGAGGCAGCCAGCTTTGATTGAGGGAAGTCATGGTAAGTTGCAGTGGACAGTTACACAAGGATAAATGCTTTCACAGGACAGCTTTTGCAAAGCATAGTATTGCTATAAATGGGCTTTGGGGATGATTCTCAGTGTAAGTGCAAGTACTAGGGAAAAAATCATTATGACTGTACTGCTGAAGGGGATGCTACTATTAAAAGTTCAACTAGCCACAGGCATGTAAGCCATGTACACTTCTAAGAGAGTCTCAGAGAAAAAGCTTTTGCTGAGGACATACGTAACATGAACAAAATGTTCTAAACTTGCAGCAAAAATACATGCCAATAGCCTTAGCACGCTGTAGGTATTTTTTTAAAGAACTTCCACTGAAGAATAAGCTACCAGCTATATCACTTGCTTGAAAGTAATTTGGAAGGATTTCTGATAGAGTAGGAACTTGTTCAACTTCATATTAACAGCCAGTCTACATGAACAGGTCACTTAACTAACTGGAAATTATTTCTTTAGGTTTAGGAATGCACAAAAAACACCCTAAGTGCACATTTCATCATAAAGTTCAAATCACTAGACAACGAGTCCATTTCCATGACAAAAAGAATTATGTATGTTCTGTAGAGAAACTTTTTCAAATCTACTAGAGAAGAAAAACAAAGGCCAGTTTATGTAAACTTGTACTGTGTATGTAGCATCACTGTTTTCATTATAGTGTGATGGCCTTGCCAAGCATTGTGTGTCATCAAGAAAGCAGTTAAACCTTTTCACAAGTGCATGAGGAGACAAGTCTTCAGCTGATGAACAGCAGCTTAACTACCAAATCAAATCTGCAGACAATCTACAGCCTTAGCCTGATGAAAAGCTCACCAAGTTTATTTTGATCTCAGCTGATGATTTTTAAATAAATACAACTATGACTTTAGGTAAGTAGAGGTGAAAGGCCCTGATGATGTAACAGCATTTTCATATTCAAGAATTCCAGGGAGATGATGGTACATCAGGTGGGTTTGTGTACAAGGGTTCCACCATACCCCCTCTCAACCACTCCATGCTGGCAAGCTTTTACTCAGTGCAAACAGATTACAAAACTGTTACGTAATCTATGAAAAGGTAGTTTCAGAAAGCTTTATTGAATACTTTTGAATTTATTACAGCATCAATAAACAACATCTGTATTAACCTACTTTACACTTTCAAACCAGTTTCAAACTGTGTTATAGGAACTCTACTACCATCTTACAGAACAAGTAGCTTAGTTTATAAGCATATATAGCGTTGCTAGAATGTGACTGTAATGGCTGTGAAGACAGGGTTGCTTTGTCACACACCACAAGCAAAGAAAACTGAGATCTCTTAAAACAGTCATACTGATAAGCCATATGGCTAGCCCAAAGGCTCGGGTCCTCCTGCTGTCTTCACCAAAAAAGGCCAGATGCATCCCCATGCTATCACACTCTTGTTCATCCCCAAATAGGCACTAATTTTAGGCTTGTAGCAACTCTGATGGTAACTAAGGAATTTGTTTGTTTAGTATGGGAGTGAAACTAATTCACTTTATATAGACTACCACAACTTTGTGCAGATGATATCTTATTACTTAAATGAAGAAATCATTCTGTATGAGATTCCTAAGTCCAACTTTATTATTTTTTAAATTACATATATTAATTTCCTAGATATTTTGTATGTCTACCTTGTGCAATTAACTTTCCTGTCGCCTTATTTGTTAAATCCACGCTGGCAAATGCAATATTTCTTCCTTGCTTCAAAATCTCAGCTGTAATCAGTACATCTTCTCCAATCTTAGCAGCAGAAGTGTATCTTCAATGAAGAACAAAATGAACAGGTAAGAGGCTGTACAGAGCACAAATCCAGAAATATGTCTGCATTTTAGATTCTCATGAGGGGAATTAACAGAAGTGGGTAATACAGATGTATTCTAACTGCCTGCTTGCAAATCCCCATTTCTCAAAAGTCCCAAAGTTCTAAGGAACCCAAGTTCTGTTCCACTTAGGGACAGAAATGCTTGGGTATCAAAGATCTCAGTTAAAAGTTCAGCTTCAAGTCCTATTCCAACCACTTCTGGTTCCCTGCAGGCTTTCTAAACCAGTCTGGCTAGTTCCACTGCAAAATGTCTCTGTCACAAAGTCTCCAGAAGGTAATTTCTGTATGGAACCTGAGCATAGGTTAACTGCTTCCTGTACCCTGGTAAGAGCATGGAAATCTGGGAGGCCTTCAAATGTCTCAGATTTAACTCATTTCCATTAATTAGAGAACTCTTTCCATTTATTTACAGGAGAAGGAGCGTGTGCTTTTAAAACACTCTGCAGGGAATAGGAAGAAATTCCCTCATGAAATTGCTGGGAAGAATTAGGAGGAACATGATGCAGCCATGATGTGTGGTAAGGGAACAATATTCAAATGTTAGAAAATGTATAATTGCTGAATATAAATCTTACTGACAAAGTTCATCAACCAGTCCATTTTTACACATGACACCATGTGAAAAGCATGTCAGTCACACCTAATACTGATGTAGCAGAAGCCCCATTAGTCTCCTGAGGGCAGGGTTTCAGTCTTTTTTCAGTCTCAGTCTGTTGCTGAGTCTCTTGTGATTAAAAAAAAATAAAGTTTCTCTGATTCCCTGTTCTTTCCATTGCTGAAATAGCTTCCTTGTGACAGCCCTTTAAAAATCTCCTTCCCAAAAAAGGAAAAAGTTCTATTATAGCAATATTTGATATTCAATATAACTTGTTCAATGGAAGCAGCAGTCTAGGTTAAACAAAGCTATTAATATTACTTCAGACAGTTCCTAAAGGTTATGCTACTCAATCATTTTGGATCACCTCCAGAGAGAGCACTTCTGTAAGATTTTAGCCCTTGTGTAATTGGGTAGACATACTTAATACTGTAAAATATTGAGGTATTGTCCTCTTGTTATACCACTGTAGGGGAAACAACATAATATAGGAGAATTTCAGGTTTTCATTTCCAGTAATTTTCTGGTCATCACAGTGGCAGTATAAAGCTTAAGTAGATGCTTCAGTCCCACCTGCCCAGTGGAGAAATCAGTGCTGGGGGGGAAAGGAGGGAACTTGATACAGATGACTGCCAACACACTTCTAAAACTTTTTTTTCTATGTATATATATAAAGACAGTGTTGCAGTTTTAATGAGGGGTCACTTTTCCAATATTTTTAATGCTCTGTGTTAGTTATTCCAAGTAGAATTACTTTAGTTCCAGTCATAATCTCCTAATTAAAACTAATAAAGCAAAGCTGACAAGCTATAAAAGCACGATCAATGGTTTCAGAATGACTTAGGTTTTTTTTCAAGACACTGTGCTTTAAATTTGCAGTACAGGAAGAACTATTCTCAATATAAAACTACCTTTAAAATGACCTAGCACACAGGAATCTTCCTCCAGTGAGAAATTCTGATTCGATCTGTAATTCACCTTCTATATGAGCAAATAACAGAGCTAAACTGTTTCCTGCTTTAATATTTTTCCTGCTTTCATATTTTTCCTGATTTAATATTTCACAGACTGAATAACCTCTTCATATAAGAGGGTTTACAGAAAGCCGCTCACCCTGGATTTTGGTGTTTTGAGGACACACTCTAACATATGCTGACAACTGGAGACAGCAGTTGAGCCCATTTTGTAAGACTAAAATTTATCCCCTATTAAGATCCCTTTACATTCTATGAATGAATGGGTACCATCTCTAGAATATGTATAACCAATAAAAGAAAGTCCAACTCAACTTTTGCAACCAAATGGCAATATCCCCACACACAGACCACCTCCCCTCCCCCCCCAGTTTATCAATACAAGACTTCTGGAAAAAACCCACCTTTTTTAATTGAGTACTGCAGCACAGAAATGACATACAATGGAGTCAGTAACATTTCAGGAGAAGAAAAGTTAGTATGTTCTGGTACACGTGGTAGATGATACCTACGTGATGTTCATGTCCACACTGACCCCAGGCAATGCTCTTTCTGTGTACAGCAACGCTGCTGTTGACACCACATCCACAAGTGTGGCTGTCAGACCTCCGTGTAATGTGCCACCTCTGTTTGTATGCTCCTCCTCTACTTTCATCTCACAAACAATTTTTCCAGGAGTTGCAGAAACAAGTTTCATCTGTGTAACCAAAAAAGGAATAAAAAGCTTTCTGACAACAGCACCAACACCCAATGCTGCCCTGAATGAAACTAAGTAAATCTTGTTTAATTTAGGACTCCTGAGACAAATTAAGAAAAGGAAAACATAATAATTCAACTGTCACATTAGGTACATCCATAATTTTTGAGCAGAGGATTGTTGCCTTAGAAAAATTTGTATTTCTAATGCAGGTAAGTATTTAAACTGACAGCTTAACAAAACTTCAATACTTGCTGTGCTCTCAGGAATTGCAACATTCTTCTTCCATTTTCCTTTTGCTTTAATCTGTCACTGAAAAGCAGATTAGGGGGAACACAATACTGGTCTGGGTGTACCATAGCTGTGAAGACGAATGTTAGCTCACAAAATGGAAATGGGACTGACAGTAACTCATTAATCATTATACCAAAGCAACCCCTGCAAAAATCAGGATTTGAAATAAGCACTGGAAATGCTAATGCAGGTGGCCTCCCTGAACTGAAATTCACACTCTTGGGTAGAAGTATCCCAGGCTGTATCACACTGTAGTTCAGCACCATGACTTGCATATACACTTTTATTCCAGCCCATAGGTGTTAAAATTACAGTACATCTATGATGCCATGCTTCCCCCTTTAACCAACACAAGAAGCTAGATTTTTGAGACCAAGATGTTACTGCAATTATTTGAAAATCTTTTTCACAGTTTCTTCAGTTAGTAGCACTTTGTTAAAAATCTGAAATATATTCAAAATTTGAAAGCAGATGCACAACTGGGTTAAATTCAGCATATTTATCACTAAGACTTCAAAGTACTTTTACACTGTCACAAATGAAACATGAGCATATTTATTACAATTCCTACTAATATTCTAGGGTTTTTACAAAGTTGGTTTTTTTTTTTAACTTTCCATGTTTTCATACTGTATCAGCTGAGTTAAATCTTTTAATCTTAAAAGGAATTAAGACTGAAATATTTCCAGTTTTGTTATTCCTTATTCATAATGCAGTGTAAGAGCTCAGTTTCAGCCAGTGCCCCTTTCTGATAGGCCAAAGTTCATCCAAATTTTGCACTGAAATGATACTAAGATAGATGATGTAGCACACAGTCCATCTACTAATGGGAAAAACTGGAATTAAGCAGAGGGGCACTCACTGAGGCATTGTCCTAATACAGAAATAGCTGCACTGACCAGAGGCCTAAGTTTCTGACAGAATTTCCAATGAGGACTTCACTGAAAGTTGACACTGGGAGCAGATGGCTTTCCACTGCCAGCCAGGGAGTGTTCTGGATCCATCCAAGAGGCAAGGAAAACATCAACTTTCATTTGTCATTGCTGTGATCTGGCACTAGCTGCCTGCTCTCCTTGACGAAAATAGTTCAGTATTTGAACGCTTCCCAGGTCTCACACAGCCAGGCCTGCTGGTTTGCACTTCTCACAGCCCTTCTGCGCCCGGCCTCCCCCAGACACGTCTGTCCCAGGCTGCTTTAGCTTCCAGTCACTACTGTGATTCATTACTTCTTTGGAGAAGGGGCTTTAAAACCCACCGTGGTTAAGGCCTATGTAGATGCCACATCAGAATAAAACCAGAACCTACGTCTGATGCTGGAGCTGAAATGTTTCAGGCTAAAAAAAATCTGTCTTCTCCAGAAAAGGAAAAATCTTGAGTCATATTTAGTTATGGTAAGAAACATTCAGGTATCTCCCAGAAAAGCAGCAGATACTTCAAATTCAAACAAAACCATATTTTAATGTTATTTTGATTATGTTCCTGGCATCATAACCCTAGAAGGAGAATGCAGAAAAAACCTAAAAGAATTCCAGAGCAAGGTAAAGAGTGTCTCCCAAGGCTCGCTTCCAGCCAGTTACCTTTCTGCTCTGAAATACTGCATTTGCTCTCCACCTGGTAGGATTTAAAGGTAAAAGAAAGTACAGCTATCACAATGAACAGGTGCCTAAGAACTAACTGGGCTTTTTATAAACAAATGAGTTTCTTAAAGCTTTATACTTTTTATGTAAGTCCAAAATGTCTTGAGGAAACATGACAGTAAGTGTTGCTTTGCAAATATGTTTCTATTAAATGTGATCACGGCACTGCTAAGGAAAGCCCTGCTTCTGAGATTACATCTGCTTCTCTACAGTGCAAAGCAATACACATTTTGACATAGTTGGTTTTCTTAGTTGTATTTACTACCTCGCCCCGTGTCACACTTACACAAACAAGCAGAAATTAAATGGTGAATTCCAGTGTTGTGGAATTTAACGAGAACCCTGACCCTGCCTTGCAGGACCACCCTCCGCAGAAGCTCAAGAGCACGTCAGCTACACTCGTGCACACCACAAAATTGAAGACAAGGCAGTCGTGTAATTTCAACTTTTTGATGATTATGACACAGCATTACCAGCCAAACACACTTCTTTGTACTAGGTCCTGTGTAGAATCTCACAGAGCTCCGAGGTGCCTGCCCATGCAGCCTGGTGAAAGGTGACGTCTGAGAGGCTAAACTGAGTTACTTCTTTTAAACAAAGTAGTAGCAATGTATTTAATAACTAACAGCCCTGAAAGCTACCTTAGGCACAGGTAGAAGGGAAGAACACTAGTTACTGGATAACCCATGGAAGGTTTTCCCACAAAACCCTCGCCTTCAGAGAGGTTCTGGGAGTGTTTAAACAGAGGTACCGAACAGTTTCTTCTACCGTGCGTTCCCATCGCGGCCGCACGGCCCGGCTGGGAGACCCCGTGTTAGAAATGAAATGTAGTGTTGTTTTTGCATTCTAGTGTTAGAAACATAGTGTCAGGTTTGGTTTATATCCTAATGTTAGAAATATATAGTTTGTTTGAGATAAGTGAGATATCTGCACATTCTAAGGACACCAGGAGTGGTTTCTGGCCCAAGAGACTGAGGGAGTGAATTGGGTTCCACCTGGGGATCCAAACATGGAGAAGGATTTATGGCCCAAGATCAGACCCAACAAAGCCACTGCTGTCCTGCTCTCAGGGCAGGGTGACACCAGTAGATTTGTCAATTGGGAAGACAGCCCAGGGGGCAAGAACGGTCAAAATTTTACCTTAAAAGGTAAAAAGTAAACTGCTAGAATGGAATGTGTAAACAGGGGCGGGAAACTTACAGGATAATGTGAAGTGTGGGATGGGCTGTGATCCCTGGAGTGCCCAGCCAGTGGGGAAACAGGGGAGGGAAATTTGCGTCGGGAACAGGGAATATAAACCGTTATTCACCTTACTATGGGGGTGCCTACTTGTTTCGGTCGCCCATTCTTGCAAGAATGTAAATAAACCGTGCTTCGTTGAGGGATCTGCGTGGGCCTGTTAATTGGCACGACAAATGTTTCTCACACCGCACCCGGGTCACAAACACGGCGGCAGGCCCGGGGCACCCTCTGCCTCACCTCCCTGAGCCGGGAACTCAGGAACTCAGGAACTCAGGAAGGAACTCA